GTGCCGGACACTGTAAGTGATAGACACCCCTCGTCAGCCCTCTTCACCGTCAATACTTTTTTCCTGCCGTGTGACGACCAAAAAAAAAGGGGGGATCACCCAACCCACTAACACCAAGGCCCAAAACACAGTGGCCAGCTTCGCCGGCGGCAACTTCATCCTGGGCGGCATCGTCCTCGGCGAAGAGAAATACAAGCAACTCGGGCTCCAAATCACCGACTCGTACTATGAGACGTACGTCCAAGAAGCAGCCGGCATCGGCCCAGAGGGCTTCAACTGGGTAGACGCAGGCCTGTCGGCCGACAGCCCCAACAACAGGCCGCCGCCGGCGAACCAGGCCGAGTTTTACAAAAAGGCCGGCTTCTACAACACATCGCCCTACTACATCCTGCGGCCCGAAACCGTGGAGTCCGTCTACTACGCGTACCGGCTCACGGGCGACAAGAAGTACCAGGACATGGCGTGGGCCGCGTTCCAGCAGATCCGGAGGCTGTGCCGCGTAAACGACGCCTATGCCGAGCTGACCGACGTCTCCAAGAAGAACGGCGGCAGCTTTGTAGACGAGATGCAGAGCTTCTGGATGGCCGAGACGCTCAAGTACCTGTACCTCACCTTTGCGGCCGACGGGCCGGTGCATGTGCAGGGCCAGGGTGCCGCGAACCAGTTTGTGTACAACACCGAGGCGCATCCCGTGGCCGTGAGGGGATGACGGGGAGGAAGGCGTAGTAGGCACATGGACAGATAGACGAGGGCACCATGAGACGGGGGATGCGAGTGTTTCATGGCTGGGCACACGAGGACCAGCCGCAATCTGTTCTTCTGTCGGTCTCACGGGCAAGCCGATGACTGGATTTTACACATACGGGGAGAATGAAATTCCATCTGCGCGCCTTGCTTTGTACATTCTCAATAATAGTACTACTACTACTACTAGTCTTGGGGCTTCTCTCCTGGTCTTCTATCGTAGTCTAGTGGTCAGGTACGACATGATTTATGTGTATGTATGGCTGTCCAATATTGAGTTATGCCCCGCCCTCTCTCTTGGCATATTCCTCCTCTATGGCTTCCTCGTATAGCCTGTCCGCCTCCTGCTCCTCGCTTGTCTTGGGCCTCGTCGTGCCGGCACCGGTGGGTGTTGCATCTCGGGGGGCTGACTCGTGCGCCGCCGCCTGATCTGAGGTTGATGTGGACGGGCCGGTGTAGATGGGTAGACCCATGATTTTCTTTCTTTCTTTTTTTTCGAGACTGGGAGTGGAAGTGTGACGGGGGATGTTGGAGTAAAACCGTCTTTTTCTTCCTAGGTTCGGATGTTTGCTCGAATGAACAGGAGCAAGGTTGAAAAGACCAAGACCGGGGCTTAATCCCCTAAATGCAGCGAAGGCGGCAGTGGCGAGTGGCAACATTGAAGGCGGCTGGGAGCCCAAAGTAAGCTTGTATCAGCGATTTGGGTGGGTCTGGTCGGACTGGGCTGTGGCGCCACTGGTGGGCGAGCCGGATCTTGCCGGATTTGAAATTCCGTGTCTGAGATGCCAGTGGGCCAATGAACACTGGTCGGCCAGAAACTGACATTGCCGCATCATAGACGGTATAGTTACTTGGCCAGTCGCCCAGCGCTGCCTCCCCGGCATCTAGAGCTCAAAAAGTGCTTTGAGACGTCATCATAGCGCGGCCAAGGTGTTGTTCATTTTTGCTTCATTGTACATTATATACGCTGATAGTTTTAACACATGAAATGTGCGCGACATGAGATTATACTCATGCCTTTTGATGCTGTCTGTACCTTGTTATAGCCCCATTTTCCCCAGTCCAACAAAGACACGGCAAGAATTGTTACCAAAAAGGAAAAAAAAAAAAAAAAGAAGAAGAAAAAAAACGCAATATAATCTCCATCTATCCCAAACGCCAACAGTAAACCACAAACACACACACACACACAAAAAAAAAAAAAAAAAAAAAAAAAAAAAAAAAAAAAAAAAAAAAAAAAAAAAAAAAAAAAAAAAAAAAAAAAAAAAAAAAAAAAAAGGCACAGACATCAAAACTCTCTACTCTCGCCAATATCGCATACATCAAAAACGCCCGTCTCCTGGAGCCCCTTCCTCTTTAGCGCCTCCCTCAACAGCTTGGGCGGCTCGAGAACCTCCTCCATGGTCAACGCCCAGGTGCCCCAATGAATGCCCATGGCCCTCTTGCACCTGGTATCGACAAAGATCTCGACGGAATCAAAAGGATTGGCGTGCATTGCGGAAAACGCCACGCGCGGATAGTACGCGCCGATGGGGATCAGGCCCAGATCAAAGGGCCCGCGTAGCTCGCCAATCTGCTTGAACTGCGGGCAGCGCGGCAGCGCCTCATACCCGGGGCCGTAGTCGTCTGTGCCCGCGGGCAGGGCCGGAACAGCACGGTATCCCGTGTCCCCCCCGAACCAGACTGACTTGTCGCCCGACCTGATGGCCCACGAGCACCACAGCGTCGTGTCCTTGTCCCAGAGGGACCGCGCCGAGGTGTGCTGGCAGGGGAGGGCCGAGATCCTCGCCGACACCGTCTCCTCCCTTTCGACCGTCTTGACCTTGACGTTGAGGTCGGCGTCTTCCCACCAGTCGAGCTCGGTGACGTTGTTGAGCCCGGACTTGCGGAACCACGTCTCCAGCCCGAGGCCGACGAAGAACTGGACGTCGGGGTGGTGTTTCTGGATCTCGAGGACCGACTTGTGCGAGAGGTGGTCGTAGTGGCTGTGGCTGATGAGGACGGCGTCGACGACGGGGATGTCCTGGAGCTCGCATGGCCGCTGGGTGTATCGCTTGGGTCCCAAGAAGCTGAAGGGCGAGCAGCGGTCCTCGAAGACGGGGTCAAAGAGGACGCGCAGGCCCGAAGGGAACTCGACGTAGTAGCAGGCATGCCCGAGCCACGTCGCGCGCAGCTTGCCCGACGCCGTGCGGCTGGGCAGCCATTCGGGGGTCTGGACGGGCACGGTGGGTGGTGATGTGTCTGGTCGTTTGAGTCGGCCTGTTATCGTTGGCCTTGACCGTGTACGTGTTAGTTTTGCCTCGCCAAAGGCTCGTTTACATGTGTACTGAACTTCTTAGTTTTCATTCATGTCGACTCACCAAACTACATTTTTTAAGATGGAAAACAAGTTTGCCGGATTCGACCACGACGGGTACGGGTTCTTGAATCCAGACACTCTGCCGGCCTTGATGATGTGGTGCGGGTTCAACGTCGCTTCTTTGGGAAGGCTGGATCGTCCCGGGATTTTAGAAACGGCCGTAGAATAGGAGGAGGTGGTCGAGGCTCCAGCCGCGGCAGCCGAGCCGGACGGGTCCGTAGACGCCATGGCACTGAAATGGGTCAAAGGCAAAGGAGAGGGATGCCGTCGTGATGCAAAGCCAAGGCGCGGGTGCAATCTACGCCAGAGACCAGAAGTCGACTGGCGAGAAGACAACAGCATAAGAGTTACCCCGAAGATCAAGAGATAAATGGCAAGGAGGAGCAAGAAGGGAGGAGGGGCGGGAGAAATAGACAAGGCCAGTTTTTATTGACAAGGCTTCAACCGCCAGGTCGACTATCGAAAGCTTAGCTCGAGAGGTCCAAGCGAGCCATGTGGGTGTTCGCTAGATGTGCTGGTGTGGCGTGCTGCCGTGAGCGGGAGCGAGCGAATGGGGGTGTGGGAAGCTGCGGATAGTGAAGCCATCTAGATGTCTTGGATAATGTACGTATGCAGAAGTTGGTTTGCACAAGCTATCCATGTCCCGCGGCTTCGGGCTTCTTTAACTCCGTTTGTGGATGCGCACGCAGATGGGAACGGGACCGTGACCCATGCAGCCATGTGCTTATTCACCCCCAACCTGCGCCGCGTCTAAAATATTACTTTGCTTGCCAACCAACTGGCTTTCCTGCACACCGCCGTTGTATTCCTCTGGAGTCGACGTCAAGCTTCCTGTCTGTTCTGCTCTTGTCTCGCTGCCTTCCGCCCTCGCTGTGACATGAGAAGAAAGAAGCCTTCAACCTGGATAGCCCACACGGGACTGATCAAAGTGCAGACTGAACAGTTCCCACAATTTTCCCGGCCCCGTGAGCTCAAAGCGCTGGGCCAAAGCTCCAATGCCGCTATTCGAATAATTGACGCTTTTCAATGTTCGCCCTTTGCTGGCATCCCTGTACCCTGCTTCCTTGCCATGAGGTCTGCCACGTGGCCCGCCGCCGATTGCTCTGGGGGCCGCAACGCATTTACGCACTGTCATGATTACTGGCGGGGCTGATGCGATGCTGATTTCTCAAGTAGTACATATTCCTTACAGGACCAACCGGCGTTTTCCCATTGAATCTGCCCAAGACGTGTGGACAGGATGAGATGGCCGGCGTCACCTGCAATTCAATCCTTCTTCCTACCTCCGACGCACCTGGGTGCATACGAGTGACGGTTTCACTACGGCTGGGCATGAATGAATTCGTCAGCTGTCGGGATTTAGACTCGTCTCTTATTTCATCTGCTTTACTGATCTAGTTTAAGCTTGCGACACGAACACTGCCTACCTAATCTTATCCACAGATTTTAAGTGTGCCTTGCTACCACTCCCCTCTGTAAATGCAAGACTGCCCATCAGATTCTTCATGGGCAACAAGTGACTCCCAACTTTTGGAACCCATCAAGTACCCTCGAGAATCCTAGTGACCAAAATAAGCCAATTCATGGCAAGAGTTGAGAACTACCGAACTACCCCTCGTCCGCCATACTGTCACAATTCTAGTCTTGTTGGTGCAACCGGCATTCCTTTAGATAGCGAGACGCTCAACCTTGTCGCGGAGAGCCTTGATCTGACCAGCCAGCTCACTGGCCTCGTTGGAGTTGATGCTAGCAGCAATGACGGCTCTGCTGACACCGCAAGCACGACCCAGGAGGGTCTTGCTGGGGATGTAGACGTAGGGAGTGCCCTTATCCTCGCACAGAAGGGGAATGTGAAAAAGAATCGCGAGCGGTTCGGTATCGGCGGCTAGGATAGCAACTTCGCAAGTACCTCGGTTAAGGGCTTTGGTCACTACCAATTCTTCTTAGCAAATGACCGGTAATCATCTCCATGCACGAGGGTATATTCCTTTTGGACGGGCATCCTCGAATTAACCCAGAACGTACCTTCGTTGGCGCCCTTCTTAGCTTGGCGAAGATGAGTAGCCGATTGCAGAAGATCGAGAATCTCCTGAGTGAGGGCGGCATCGGCCAAGGGCCAAGCTATACGAGAACCGTGGTTAGCAATTCGTTGACGAGTTGCAACAGCTTGTGAGCCAGCCTACAAATTGGATGTGCACATACCAGCGTTCGCGTCTTCCGCCATTTTCTTCGACAGAGGCTCGCCTTGGATAGGTTCACGGCCGTGATGGTAGGTGAAGAGACAAGAAAAAGGGAGGCGATGGTTGCCTTGAAGCCTGTTGCAATGGATGAATCGGTGATCAAAAGTCCAGCCCAGAAGCAAAAAAAAAAATCAACTAATCCGCCCCACGATGGAAAATTCTTGGTCAAGCCACATTTGGTGGAGAATGCTTCCCTATCCTATCACGTGGTGTGGCGCAGCGTTGACATCGCCATTCCAGTCATTCTGGAGTGGTGGCTTGAACCTTAAAAATGATAGGGCTGCTACTGACCAATGGTAAAACAACGTTACTGTCGCACATATTTTACTACTTCTCACCCAATGGGCTTCTCCAAACGCCTCCAAAGCCGACTTTCCGTCTTGACAACGTACCTACGACTGAGCACAGTGCTTGTCTGGCGTTCCATAACCGTCGAGACTCATGAGTTACGATTTTAGACTCTACAGTGCATTAGTCTCTTTGTGATAAAAATGAGTGGCGACAATAAGCGATCTTTGTGAAGGCCCATGAAGATCGTTTTCCGGAGGAGCGCCCCACTCCATATCCACATCATCCTCTTTGACACCAACTTCCTTTCTATGCCGGCAATAGGCGATATTCATTCAAGGAGACTGGATATCAAGCCTTGGTCTGGCTCTGCCGGTGATAGGCGACTATTCATTCGAAGAGACTGGACATTACGCCTTGGTTTGAAATTCGGCTCCGCAAGCCACGATTGTGTTTTACGACGCCCACTAACTAGATGGCTGACGTCCGAGCAAAAACGAGTTCAAGTTCCAGTCAGGATGAAAGCGGCGTCTGGGGTAGCAGTCGATACCCACAAAGCTTCATAATCCTTGAGGACGGTGGATACATTGAGGATTCAATAGATTAACAGATACGTAGATACTCATTCCCCAGGTTGGGAACTGTTGAGTTGCTTGGCGTGGCCACAGGGAAAACAGGGGAACACGTCGGGACTGAATTAGTTGTCGTCAGCGATTTACAGATTTCCGTCCTTACTACTGAGCTAGAGGTGTCTTCTGTCAAGTATGGAGCAAGGCTTAATGAGATCAAGAATACCCCGGATCTGTTGGGTACCAGTATCCCGCGTCGACATGGTTCCAACTCCACATGCCAAAAGGACTCCGGTCACGGCCTAATAGTGGTTTTGACACAACATCCTTGTCTGATGTATAATGTTGCCAGCAATGGGCCGAGGCTATCCCAGCGTGGCACGGTCGCAACGCAGCAACTGACTGATATGCATGGCTCCTCCTAGACGCGTACGTTGCTGGCTTGATACTCGGGCGTGAAGACACCTGTTGGGCTTGTATTGGGCTTGAAGCAGTTAGATGTCTAGCTCCAAGTTTTAGCCTGTCAGAATTGGCTTCCGTAAAGAATTGTTGACTCCTGATTGATGCTTGGGTCGGAGCTGCTGTTGACTTCATTACACTTGAGGCTACTACATCAAGACGGCGTTGCAACTGGAGTTCGTTTGACATTGTTGAAAAACACCTTGGGGGAAGCATGATTGTGTTTTCATAGACGTAGGCGTGTCGCTCCTGTGATCATCAACAGTTGCCGGAGGGCGCATTTCTTTTTGTTTTGTACTTACACCAAGTGCGTGGCATATCCCCTTGATGCCGCCGCGGCTCCGCAGAAGTATTTCTGGGGGATCATGGTCGAGCCAATGGACAGTTTATGCTGATTAATACAGCCATCGCTACCCAAAAGCCTGTTGTGATAAATGTACAGGCAAGTCTCTGGGGCGTTCTAGGGCTATTGTGCGGAGAGAGGAACGCCTGAGGTGCCTCGACGGCATGAAGGGGGTGGGATATGGACAACTAAACACGCATCATTCGGCTTTTTGGATATACATGGCAATTATGGATACATGTTAGGTAACCATTACTAGAGCAAGGTTCTAGAGGACGGCCTAGAAAAGCGGTTGTTATGCACGGAGTGGATGCTGTGGATGTTTGCAAGGATAAATGGGCGGACTGACTCGTTTGGGCTCGGGGCCCGGCGTAGCCGAGTCCACGACGTGGGCGAAGAGTAGTCCGAGAGTGATGGCAAATGGGCATTTTCGACAAGTTGGTCAAGTTGAAATGCCGGGTGAAAAGTGCGAATAGCCTGTGCCATAAGTTACATTAGAACATGAACGTGTAGACAGCAGCAGGTGCTAGCTAGTTACAGTTATACATAGACTCAAGGTTCGGGTCGAAACCCTTGTGTGTACTCCGTATGTACAAGTCAGTTTCTTGATCTGCACACCATTTTCTCATTTTCTCCATTTTTCTTCCTCAAATGGGCAAGTGTCTGGGGGAGGATTTTTCTCCTTCTTCTTTCCCGCTTCCCCGTAGTAGAATAAAGTTTTTCTCTCTAGACTTATCCCAACTTATACATTCTCGCACCAAGTCGCAGCAGGCCCAGACTATTATCGACACGTTTTGCAAATATTGGCCCCCAACGGCCAACGGGGAAGACCCAGAGTATAAAAAAAACAATACTTCCCCGTACCCCATGATATTCTCCGCATTCGAGCACGATCTGTCTCTGCTTCATCCCATCTACTATCCTGCTCCCCAGGTCTAGTCACCGGCCAACATGTCCAAGACTTCCCAAGACCCCCACAATGCTCTCTCGGACCAGATCGAGCCTGCTGCTTCTCGGTCTGAGGGAGAAGTCATCGATACCGAGGTCAAGACCAGCGACGCCGTCTTTGGAAACATCACAGACCAAGGGCCCAACTACCGCAATGTAAGCCGAAGCACTGATGGCCTTTCTTGTCCCTTGACCCTTTTTGTTCCCGCCGCCCAGATATGCTGATCGTCCCGGCCAACAGGTTGGATGGTTGGGAACCGCAGCTCTCATGATGAAGACGCAAATCGGCCTGGGTGTTCTTTCGATCCCGTCAGTCTTTGATACCGTGGGGCTCATCCCCGGTGTCATCCTCCTCTTGGTCATTGGAACCGTCACTACTTGGTCGGCCTACATGATTGGTGTTTTCAAGCTCCGACACCGTCAAGTATATGGAATCGACGACGCCGGCAGCCTGATCTTCGGGCGCATTGGACGTGAGGTCTTTGGGGTTGCCTTTACCCTCCGTAAGTACCGACTGACGACCATGACCCAAGGGGGTGTGAGTTTTGCTGACCAGTCTTGTCCATCAGTCTTGACCTTTGCAGCTGCCGCAGCCTTGATTGGAATCTCGGTTGCTCTCAACGCCCTTTCCACCCATGGGGCATGTACTGCCGTGTTTGTTGCAGTTGCGGCTGTTTTTGGATTCACCTTTGCGAGCATCCAAACGCTGGGTAAGATTAGTGCGCTGGCATGGATCGGTGTTACTTCCATTGTTGTCGCTGGTGAGTTTAACAGCCCCCTAGACACAGCTCACTTCCGACCCTGTTCTAAACTCTTGAACCATGCAGTTTTCACCGTGACAATCGCCGTCGGTGTGCAGGGTAAACCTGCGACTGCTTCTCAAGACTTCGAGGGCCCCTGGAGGTCCAATTACGAGCTTTTCAAGAACCCCAGCTTCAGCGGCGCTCTGGGAGCCATTACAACACTCATCTTTGCTTATGCCGGCACCCCGACTTTCTTCAGTATTGCGTCCGAGATGAGAGATCCCAAGCACTACGCCAAGGCGCTGATGGTGTGTCAAAGCGCCATTACTCTGGCCTACATTGTAGTCGGTGTGGTCGTCTACTACTTTTGCGGATCCTATGTTGCCTCTCCTGCTCTGGGCTCGGCTGGCCCGTTGATTAAGAAGGTCGCGTATGGAATCGCTCTTCCTGGTCTGCTGGTCACCGACCTTTTGCTCATCCATGTGAGCTTCCTCCGTGAAGCAAGAAGCGATCGCCAAACGAGAACTGAAGTAGCTAACCATTATTTCTTTAGCTCGCCGCCAAATCCATCTTCGTTCGAGTCCTCCGTAACTCAAAACACCTGGCCTCCAACACTCCCAAGCACTGGGCGGTTTGGCTGGGCTCGACCTTTGCCATCACCGTTGTGGGCTATGTGATTGCCAGCGCCATCCCCATCTTTGGACAGCTTATTGCACTCATTGGAGCACTTCTCGGCCCGATTTTGTGCTTCCACCCACCAGGTTTCATGTGGATATACGACAACTGGAAGAGATCCGACGGCCGGAAACCGCTACGATGGTACTCTGGAGCGGCTTCCAGTGTCTTTGTGGTCGCCACGGGGACGTTTTTGATGATCGCTGGTACTTATAGCGCCATTTATACCATTGTCAACACGCCGGGAAGTTCCCAGGTTTGGTCCTGTGCGGATAACTCCAACTCCACGTGAGTTGAGATGCATGCATGTTTCAGACCTTATATGGCATCGCTCCGTCTGTGTTGCCATCTCGCTTGTTTTTGCGAGAAGAAGGAAAAAGAAAAACGTCCGGTTGGAATGTTTCCCCTCAACTTTGCCTAGGCAAAAAGTCTTGAATTTAGCCTGCAACACTTCCGCGGAAGGGTAGAGTGAGACTTTGGTTATCATGAACAGCAACCGACGAAGCGTGTCGATTTTCCTACATGTGCACTTCTGTTTCTATTGGTATAAAGAAGAAGCCAATTGTGTACAACCAGAGATCAATGCTTTCGGTAAAGAGAGAAGGGATCACGCTGCGAATGTATATTATGCATCTAGAGGACATGGCCACGCATAGCGTGAAGAAGATAAAATAGAGAATAAAGAACTGTAGACAAGCGGCCTTTGCGTTTGAATGTACATGGATAAAAATGAGACGATGGTTATAGGTAGACAAGAGTAATATAGTCGGTAGGTTCGGCAGTAGAACCTCGTAGTCTCCGTTTAAGCTGTCGAAAATACTCAGTGGTCATTTCCCAAACCAGAGGCCATGGTGTTCGGCTTTGGAGTCAACTGGTATTTAAATCGTCTGGTGTCATGAATGATCACGCACGTGCGGGCATTTAAGCAGGAGGCCCTAATCACTTCACTCGCCATCATCGAGGGTCAAAATGCCAGACTGCGGCGACCATTCCCCCCACACAACGTAAAGTGCAAGTTCTTCAGATGGCATTAAGTACAGATACCCTTGTCATCTCCAGAGCGGTCGCCTCATTTTCGCAACTGGATTCGACAGGGGAATGCGCCATGGAGCTGGAGGAATCGTGGGGCGGGCCGTGAATGGCGCGATCCAGCCACCCAGCCATCATTGGCAAATATGTTCCGCATTGATGTAATTTGCCGCAAGTCCTTGGTCCAACCCGAGGTGAAATTGAGCACGGCCTGCCTGGTCTCTGGTCTGCTGTGGCCTTTTCACCATTTTCCTTCTTTCTTTCTTTCTTCTTTTTTTTTTCCCGCTTGGCTCCACAATATAGGGTTATAATTGAGCGACGAATATCCAACACTATGCAAAAGGATCAACCAACATGTGAACAAGACCAGGGTCAGCTGCATACATACATATGCATACCACTCCGTACCTCTGCACATGTGTACATATGTACGGAGTACCAGACTCTGTATGCACAAGGGACTTGACCAGACATCCCTCCCATTGGTTCGCTTGAGCACCCGCCGCCCTCAATTTGACGTTCCTCCTCGCACGTCTCGCCAACAGCGTCTCTGACCATCACCCATCGCTGTGCCAGCGTCAAAGACTCGCACTACCGCACTACCTACAATAATGCCAATCTGTATCGAGTGTAGGCACCCTGTCAAGACACTATGGACCAAATACTCGGGCGCTGGTGACCAGTCCAGCGGACACAACATTCGCCTAAGCGTCTGCCGCAATTGCGGTTTCTTTTGCGACAAGTATGTCGAGCACGACTTTGTCGTCATCTTCATAGACTTGGTCTTGATCAAGCCGCAGGTAAATATGAGCTTGTTTGCTTGTACCGGCTGCCGCGTCGAGGAGGAGCCGTGATAGTTTGCCACTTGGTGCTAATTGCGATGCGACTCCTTGAACAGGTCTACAGACACCTTCTCCACAACACCTTGATGCGCAATGGCGATCGATTCGATGTATGTACAACCAATTGTCTGTCGACACTGGCCGTGTATACATGAGACATTTCGAGACTTCTCGTTGCGTGCCGACACTGATACTGAACACCTGCTAACAAACACGCCCGCCCGCCTTTGACTTGGAGCAGCCTTCCATCATCCGACTGGGCATCCTATTGCTGCTGTTCGATGTCTACCTGACGTGGGAGCGCATCGAGAAACGGGCCAGTCCAGCCATGTTCCCCGGCCGAGGCAACCTAGGCAACCTGGCCCAGCAGCCCATTGCGGTACAATACCTCTTCTTTTTAATTCTCTGCGCATTATCAACGCTGGCATTCCATCTTATTATTCGATTTCTCACCTGCTCGTCATATTCGCCCTTTAACACACTGGGTATCATGCCGCGATACACACGTCCAAATTCGGTCTCGACAGCACTGCTTTTATCTTCCTACACAAAGCTGTTCCCCATTCTCATGGTTATATGGAAGTATGACATCCCTGCTGCAGCTAGGCCCTTGGGCTGGGCAGTTGTAGCAAATAATATTGAGGCTCTGAGAATTCTATTGGATTGTAAATATTACACGGCTTGTATTCTTGCCATGGCCGGCGCAACCTCGCGGTGGGCTGCGGGACGGTTTGTCCTTGTAGCTGCTGGCCTTGGCCATGTTGATTCCATCAGTGAGAGCAGTGTCGCTGCGGATGGGAGGGCTCTCTGGGCTTTGTTCTTGTTGCTAAGAGACTGGGCTGGTCGGTTGGCCGTGGGTTAACGCTGAAGCGAAGCCGTCTCCAGCAACACTTTGGTTAGTACTCAAACTGAACAAGATTGCCTTGACAATAATACCTGCTCAGGGCCGCTGACTGCTTAGGTGCGCTTGCGTAATACCAGCATCAAGACGGCCCACCAACATGGGGACGGCCCATCAAAATCCCTTTTGACATTTACGTCCAGCGGTTGCATCACTTGCTTGCCAATCAAAGCCGATATACAAGCTGTCCGTCTGAGCAAGGAGGACACCAAGAACATTGGTCTTGCCAACGCCCAATGATGCCGTTGGAAACTCGCCCAGACCGTCATGATTAAGTGCCCGTTGGCAACCATGTCATCCCAAGGTACATTCACACAAGCGGAATGCTCCGAGACTTGTCTTCAGCCCGTCTTTCAGCTGTACGTCGCGACTTTTCTCGTTCATTACTGCATCAGTTTGATCGCCTACCCGTGGAACTCTAGTTTCGGACCTTCAATCCTCTGGACTTCTGCTCCCTCTCCCGAACCTCACGCATATCGCTCAGAGGGAGGTCTACTGTCGAGGCTATTCCAGCACATCAGACGGTCATAGAGCATGCGCCGACACGATTATTCGCCCTAGGCAAGGCCCGCTTACTCAGTTTCCATTCCGCTATATGAACCCGTCAAGTCTTTAATTTTAGTCGATGTGCTTCTTGCTTCAACTTTGGAAGCCTTAATCTTTCTTGTCCACCTGCGAGAGGATATGCCTCAAGTGTCTGCATGAACATGTGGGATTCTGGGATGATCACCCCTGCCATCGCTAAGAAATGTTTTTGCTTAACAGATGAGCAGCTTAGAAATATTCCTATATCATGCAGCATCCCGGGTAGTTATTCGGTGGGAACTCTACCTTCACGCTAAAAACGTACTTGCCGCCTCGTGAGCGTGAAGCAAGCGAAAGAACGAGCTATTTCTGGGCACAGGGACACGATGGCAAGTCTCGTTCCTGTTGGCTCAATCTTAAACGGGACTTGCATGTTTGAGCGCTTTCAGGAGGCCCTCTCGGAACCCTGCGGCTATGATTTATCGAGGTCGCCGAAAAAAGCGAGCTTCGGAGATGATAGATTTGCAGGCAGGTGTCTATGCGTCTGACATGCTTGGCGTAGGCTGGACCGGACTTTGGTTGCCTCTGCGAAGGCTGCCATGTCGTACATAGGTATTTACAGACGGTTCAGTACCTACGTCTCCCAAGTCAAAGCCTGCCCTTTATGGCATACATCCGGATCGGACTCTCTTGGAAGACTGTTATTGACTACACTCTCGAGATGGGCTCTCGGAGTATATTAAGCAATGTTATGGCGTACGACGGTTACTTGCACAATGGAGGCCAGAAACATGATGAATCTCGATTTACTTCACCATCTGGGGTTTCATCGTATGAGCATTTTTATCCGATCGGTGTTAGGTAATGCGGGTAGCCCTGGAATCAAGGGATAAACCCCGCGTATGGTGACCTCGTCTAAGACGGCATGAGGCCAGGAGAGGATCTGGACTTGGGCCACCACGACAATATCGACATGAACGGCGTACACGTCACCTCCATCCCCAGCGGTGACAGATTCAGCAATGAGTTGGGTTCCACGACTGGAGTTGCTCCCCAGGAAGAGGCTCAAGGACTATCAGCTGAGCTTGCTGAGGCCCTAACCCTGTTTTGTCGGGTAATGGGCCAAGGACCTCCGTTCGTCTAACGAGCTCCGGTCTCTACAGACCTCCCTGTCTCCAGGAGGGTGAAATATTTCTCATATTCCCCGCTCGCCGTTCATAAATCGAATGGGGTGCATCATGGGATCTCGGTGTGACGGGTTTTATTTTCTTATCAGTGGTGGCTATTTGCCATGCAATGTTGGAGCAGTACGACATGTCGGCGCAGTACTGCGTAACCCTCCTTTTTTTTTCTGTCCGGTTTCAAAGTTGCACTACCTTCACTACCAATCGGACCCATGACGTACTGAGACATACCAACAACATCGTAGCTGAGTAGCTGTTCGAGTGGCTTGGTAGCTGAGATCCATGTATACAGACAGTGACAGCTCATTTGCCCACCAAGTAGTATACACTGACATACTATAGTATATTATAGTGCAGAGCTCGATAGCTGGGTACCTGGCCTGGTTCAACACTCATCATCCCCAAGTGCAGTGTAACGCACCAGCACCAAAGGCGTCTCTTCTGAGAAGAAGAAGCCTGTCGGCATTTGTCAATTATGTTGGTCAGCTGGTCTAATGAGTGTGATGGGTACTGCAAGGATGGTGAAAGTCGGCGACAACGTCCACAAAAATGTTTGGGACGGCCAAAGCCACATTAAACCCACGACTATAAGGCTCGCGACAAGAACAGCAATGACGAGTAAAGTAGCACTTGAGTCTTGGTGCCATGGATCCATCGACCTTTGGAGCTTTATGCATCTTGCTTAATGGGGAGACCGGACGGGGCGACTCAGCTAGTTAAGGATTGGGACGATTCGGAGCCAGGCTCAACGGCAATAGTCTTGAAATAGCAATCTCGTATCCTCGGCTGTCGATTACAGGGGTGATCGTATTTCACGCCACCCTTGCAAACCAGTCCGAAATATAGAACTGGAAACATAAATAAACCGGCGAGTTCCTCTAACTCTGCCCGTCCCGTCTTCCAAGCAGTTGCAGAATCCAACATCATTGCTGTGGTATTTGTATCATCATACGAACATATCTGTTCCCTATTTTATTAACAGGTCTATCACCAGCACACAACTGGTACAGAAAATGCCGAGTGAGGCCATCGATGGTTATATTCTCGGTAGGGGTGTTGCCCACTCCGTAAGGTAATCGCCATGTCTTAGATCAATATCATCCACCAGCTTGAATGACGCTAAATTTGTTGATGAACAAAGGTTAGATGCACAGCATTTCCTTTGGAGACTACATCAAGGCTACTTGCTCCACCCACACATAAAGCTTACAGAAGGAATGAGCGTTGCAGACATCGGGACAGGAACAGGGTGGGATATTCTCCATAACCATGGTTATATTCGAGCATCACACTGACATATAAGCGTAGGCTTTGGCTTCTGGATCTTGCTCGAGAAGTTCCCAGCTCAGTCACTCTTCATGGATATGATATATCCGACAGACAGTTTCCCTCTCCACAGATGCTGCCCCAGAATGTCTCGCTCAAGCAACTAGATTCCCTGGGAGACGTCCCCACTGAATTGGAAGGACGATACGACGTCGTTCACCTGCGAATGTGGAGTAGCAATTTGTCGTCGAAAGAGGTCGATCTGTTGATCCATAACCTCTCCAAGATGCTAAGTATAGACGTCCAATACACAATAATTGAGGACTTCAGAGTCGCTAACAGGTTGGAATGAGTTTAGAACCTGCAGGCTTCATCCAATGGGAGGACGCAGATCTCTGTAACCAGGTAATTGGGACGAAACAGGTAGAAGAATTTGATCAGCAGATGAAGGAGCTTTTCAAGCTTGCGGGGAGAGATTACAGGTACTTGCAAATGTCCACATTCCTCGATTGCCCTTGATTCTTACATTCCCACGCGATAGTTGGATACAAAACTTGCCTTCTTCGCTTCAAAGACATCAGTTCAAGATTATAGACCACAGAAACGCTTCTTTTGCAGATGACCTGGTCCATCTATGCACAAACACATATCTCACAGCAATCGGCGAAATCATAGAAGGCATCAAAAGAACGGCTAGCGGCCCCTTGTGTTCAATGATTCAGAAAGCCGAGAGCTCGCCTAGTTTGCTTCTGAGCCAGAACAATGGAGCAGTGTACAACTGGGGGCCCTTTTCAACATTGGCGCAAAGGAGCTAAATAACGGTTATCTTATAGGAAGGGAAAAGAAGATGGTTTTCCCGGCTAGCTCCTCCTGACTACCCGGTGACCCGTGTTTGGGTAGAGTGAGTTCCTGTAATATCCTACAAGGAACGAAGTAATAGCCTCACTTGTACAGTTATAATATATCTTTACCATTACACGCGCATAAACAATTTGTTCCACCTAGTGGAAGTCGCTGACATGGTGACTACCATCAATCAAACATGTATAGTGGAACGCTGGATACCACACCACGAAGATTAAAGTGAAGTTTAGCAGAGATTTTCCCCTCGACGCTACCGAAAGCTTAATGGGATTCATAGCGGTGTTGGAGCATATCGAGGATCCAATCGATACAAACTTTACACAAAGGAGGTCCAAGATTTCTTGAATAAATTGGGCTCAACAAGACCAAATACACTTATATATTGGAGATGAAGCGTAGATGCGGGAAAGAGCCTGGGCAGAGCATGTCCAGAAGTCAAGGCCAAGCAATACATCCAGTAAAATTACTAGGATGTAATTCAACGGATGAAAACAGAAGAGTATCACTGAGAGCCATTTCTCACAAGAACAACTTCCGAAAAAGCGAAATGGAAACAACCGCAGCTGAACCTTCTAGGGCTTGAGTAGAGCGGCCCACGCAATACAATCAAACAGCCCAAGCAAACCCAAACAAATAGCACCATCAAGTAGAAAATTATTTCACATCACACAGAAGAACTGCTAGACCACATTAGCCCCAAGCTCACAGTGCACAGCTGTGGTTTTGCGAGAATGACATGAAAGAAACAGGTTCGGCGGCCTCGGCCGTGGGAAAGTAGACTCATAAATGCTCTGAAACTCAAAACTACGTGGATGAGCGGCGTATGAGACCGTGCTGATGGCTTTCGCAAAGAAGCGAGCTTTGCACGTACTTGGACTCATTATGCCTCATCTGCCACCATACTTTATGCTGCCTCCGCATGAAGCATAATCTGGCGTGATGGATAGTGGCAGATGAAGGAGAAATGCACTAATCTCTCTCCCATGTTACAGAAAAGAGGACATGTTCAACGGGACGCTCACTTTAGCGACTATCGAACGAGGAGAATTGACGTACTTGAAGCGAAAGGGGGAAGCTGGCAAAGTAGGTTTGCCAAGAGAGTTTCTGTCACATTTTATTACTAATTTGGTATTAATATTAATAGTTTTTTTTTTTTTTTTTTTTTTTTTTTTTTTTTTTTTTTTTTTTTTTTTTTTTTTTTTTTTTTTTTTTTTTTTTTTTTTTTTTTTTTTTTTTTTTTTTTTTTTTTTTTTTTTTGAGTTTTTAAA